CACACATATATGTGTGTATATATATATATACACACATATATGTGTGTGTATATATATATATATACACACATATATGTGTGTGTATATATATATATATATATACACACATATATGTGTATGTATATATATACACACATATATGTGTATGTATATATATATACACACATATATGTGTATGTATATATATATATATACACACATATATGTGTATGTATATATGTGTATGTATATACACATATATGTGTATGTATATATGTGTATGTATATATGTGTATGTATATACACATATATACATACATATATATATACATACATATACCCACAAGAAAGATTTTTGTTTTTAGATCATTTCTTTTTGTATGGTAAACCATGAAGCCAGCAGCACTTTTGGGGACTCAAACGTGCACAGAACTATTATTCCATCAATACAATTCATGAGAATTAACAAAAAACAAACTGAAGGCTCATACAGCTTGTTGATTGATACAAAACAAGATACTGCCACATAATTGTGACTTGATTTTGTCCTATAAGACGATAAGTTAAATAAAGTGGACTACATTCTACGCCAAAATCAAATATTGCAGGTTCCAGATTTAGACTATTTGGGACTACTCAGGTGACCATTCTGCTCCTCAACGTTCCCGCAGTGGGCCTATAACCGTGTGTGTGTGTGTGTGTGTGTGTGTGTGTGTGTGTGTGTGTGTGTGTGTGTGTGTGTGTGTGTGTGTGTGTCGTCCAGGTGTGGTTCAAAAACCGCCGGGCCAAGTGGAGGAAGCGGGAGCGCAACCAGCAGATGGACCTGTGCAAGAACAGCTACCTGCCGCAGTTCAGCGGCCTCATGCAGCCTTACGAGGACATGTACCCGGCGTACACCTACAACAACTGGACGAACAAGGGCCTCACCCCGGCGCCGCTGTCCACCAAGAACTTCACCTTCTTCAACTCCATGAGCCCGCTCACCTCGCAGTCCATGTTCTCGGCGCCCAACTCCATCTCCTCCATGACCATGGCCTCCGGGATGGGCCACTCCGCCGTGCCGGGCATGCCCACCCCGGGCCTCAACAACATCAGCAACCTGAATGGGATCGGCACGTCCGGCATTAACTCGGCCATGTCTCCGTCCGCGTGTCCGTACGGGCCACCCGGCTCTCCGTACAGCGTTTACCGGGACACTTGCAACTCCAGCCTGGCCACGCTCAGACTCAAATCCAAACAGCATCCAACTTTCGGATACAGCAGCCTGCAGAGCCCCGGGTCGAGCCTGAACGCGTGTCAGTACAACAGCTGACGGGACCAAAGCGCGCGTAAATGTTACAAAAAATTAAGAAATATATGTGATAAACGGACACGGTGTCAGAGCTTACAGGATACCTGCGGATTCGGGGGGGGGGGGGGAGGGGGGGGGGGGCGTCAAAGACAACTAAACTGGATTAGTTGCAATCATTTTTCAAAAAAGAAAAACAAGAAAACTTGGATTATGCGGGTTTTATGTGTTTACCAATGAACTTGCACAGCAGTTGAAATGTCGAGGATTTTTTTTTTTTTTTAAATGATGAAGACGTGTTACATTGCTGCATTGTACATATATAAATGTAAATATATACAGGCTTAACATATGAAACACACGATGGGATTTTTCTTTTGCGCTTGCTTGCTTTTGGAGACTGGCAAAAGGGGGAAGGGGGGGGGGGGGTCCTGATCAAAAAAGGATTTACAAGTAAAAACTAAATTAAATAAAGTGTGGAGCTTATCATGAATCCAGACTCGATAAGAGAAAAGAAATCCAGTTCATAATATACACATTTTATACTGCTTCTGTGTGCTTTCTATTTGCCGTCTTGCAGGGGTGCCACCGGCCCGTTTGACCCGCGACGCCTCCCGTCCAGCGACTGTACTTTGAAATGTTTTTCTTCTCATTTTGTTTGCTGAAATAGAAAAAAAAAGCCCCGCATGTTTAATAAACTTGAGTGCAACGTGTTTTGTACTATAATGTAATACTTTGCAGAAGTAAGTTCATTAGCCTAAACTGTATACAAAAAAAGGTGATTCAAAGTCCTCGTGTGTTTATGGTGACATGTTTGTTTGAATAAACTCCAGGAAAAGAGATTTATTTCAAGTATGTTTTAGAGGAGACTTCGTTTAACGAGACAAACCGCAGCGGGACAGTTATTTTACTCCAAAGAGGAGCAAAATGAATAATTGGCTAAATATCCGCAGACACATTGATCCACTGGGATTATCTCAGAAATATGAAGCTTTTTTTAAGGATTAATGGGACTAAACCGTAGGTTATGGCTTTGACCACGATATTTAAATATTTTATTCCTTTGCTAATTTAAAGCGTATTCAAGCATTTTCTTTGACTTTATTGAACATCACTTTTTTTCTGTGGAGGGAAATAAATCCAATGGAGTTCAAACGCATCTTGGAAACACAAACTTTAATATTTAAATTTCTAGGAACTATAAGGATCATTCTCTAAAGCCTTATTTAATATTATGGGTCATTTCATTTGGTGAGAATATGAAAATCACGGCTCGGTGCAGAAAATAGCCCTTTTATTTTATAACATGCCTGTCCAAATCTAGATTTATGAGTTGTACTTGAGCCTTGCTCTCCTTATTTACACTATAAGAGCACACTTGGTTGAAGTTGGAGTCACTCAGGATACTTTCTATATGGACCTAACAGACTCCCATTTTAAGGAGTTATAATCAGAGGATTTAAAAAAAAAAAAAAAGTTGCGTTTAAGCGAGTTGAAGCCATTTATTTATTTAATTAGCTGCAAAAATACGAAACTCTCAAACAGACTTGTGTCTAAATTGCCTAAAACACCTAGACAAATAAAATGCAGCTTACTTCTTTGGTCAACAATGCCAAGTTTGTCAATCAAAATGGATTCAATCAATACCATATCTCGTTTTCTGACACCTGCAGAAATCCCCATATCTATATTACTCACCGTTAGACTGATATTAGCGCGCATGCACAAATGCAGCAGTAATGACTGTGTGCTTAAACTGATAGTGCTGTGTGAGGGGAGGATGTTAGGATTAGAGGCAACACTTGAATAAACCATCAAATGTAACGCAGGCTTCTAATGACTAATAAAAACAGCCTGCGACTCCTAAAAAATTAAATGATGCTGAAAGTCAGCAAACTCATTTAAACCGGTTTCTATAGGTATGATAGTGAGTTTCTAACTTTAATTTTCTATAATATTAACCAATTAAAGGTGAGTTTATATTCATAGTGTGATTTGTTTAAGATCTCCTAATGGCTTTTTAGTAATTATTCTTGCTCTAGCTTAACTAACAAAAGGGAGTTTGTTGAGTTTAAAGTGTCTTTTGGGGAAATGTAGTCCTAAAATATTTTACAATAACTGAATAAAAAAAAGGGACCACAACACCAACATAAATTCAGATATCACTGTGTCTCTAAACTGAAGTATAATAGTCTCATAATAACTTGAAACATGTCTGAAACACTTTTCTATTAATTAAATGTAATATTCAATATTGACTTGTAATGTGTCCGTGATATTAAAAATTGAGTTAATGTGAACCTGAAATACCTTTTTGAAAAATGTATTATATTATTCCTGACACTCAAAAGTCAGATTTTTGGTAATTGTTCTAGTTTTTCTTTAATATTCTATTAATATTTTGTAACCCATAGTTTACAGTGTCTGTACTCAAAAGTGATGTTGACCTCTGTGCCTTTTTAGAAAATCTCTCCTATAGGGACTCTAATTTAATATTTCACCATAACATTTACCGTTTATCTCCTATGATAAGCCTAAAATATTCCTTTAATATTTTTTTAAAACTAGATTATTGAACTTGAGGTTCTATTAAAAAAAACTCCTATATTGGATCTAGCCATTATATTTTTTAGCAGTGTGTCTGGCTTCTTGACTTTATGGCGCCCTTTTCCTGTTATAAATAAATAATATTCCTATAATATTTTATCTTAACCTGTAGCGTGTCTGTGATAATCAAAAGAAAGTTTATGAATCACTTACCTCTAGAATACATTTGTTATTTTACCACAGAGTTTCTGACGCTCAAACGTTAGTTAAATGTAATTTGGGTGTTTTACTGGTGAATTTATCTCTTATATAATATTTGACCTTATCGTCTGGTGAGTTTATAGACCTAGGTGAGTTTCGGTGATTTGATCTTCTGTAGCAGACGAAAACGTATAATAGTGTCTCATAACTTCTGTCAAACACACTGCTGTTACTATTTCTGTAAGTCTAACTGTCACAGGTTACTGAAGCTCTCTTGTCGTTGAGGTCCACCATTCACAAGTCATAACAGTAACATCAGCAGCGCACGCGGTTTCCTGGGGCGTGCCCGCCCGCATGGAGCTAATGGCAGAGCGTTTGGGTGGGCATGCGCACTGGCTGTGATTGCAACCATCCGCTTTGATTTGGAAATGTTTAACGAGTGGACAAAGCGCACCCGAGGCTCATAATGATTTGTAACAAAAACAAAGCGCGCATGCTGTCGTAAATGTTACCCATAATACTTGTTTCCGGGTATAAATAAGACCACGCGGCACCGTGAACGCCCCTGAACCAAGAGGGCAGAGTTCAACACGCTGCTTTATAGCAGTAAATATTTGACCTCGTGTTTCTCTGGTGAGGAAGTCCCCACTTCTCCTTAATTATGAGAGATACTGCTATGGAACGGAAGAAAACAATACACAATCATAATATCAGATGCGTTTCCTTCCTCTCTCAAGAACAAATGATTCAGAGTGAAAAGATGAGAATAAGTTAGGCAAGAAATAAATCACAAAAGTTGTTGTGAGTAATTGAAGATAAAAAAAGGGTCAACCAATCTCAATTTTTACTTTTCTGGACATTTCAAGACGTCACAACTGAGATATGATGGGATTTTTTCATGGTTTCATGATATTCGATTAAAAAAACGATGAATCGGTTTCAGTAAGGAAATAATCGGCTGATTAATCAAGAATGAAAATACCAACTTAAAGTCACAGCATCAAGATGAAGGCTGCAGCCAAACTGAACTGTCATAACAGACCTTTTCTGATGAGTCGCATTACTCAAGAAGAACTCAACCAGCAAACTTACAAAACTTTGAATGCGTAAATAATACCGGCATTCCACGAGGCCCCTTTAGAAGTCAACTGTGCTCCTACCGACCACATCGGTCTGAAGTACCAGTTTTGAATTACAAGTTGTTTTCACGAATTACAACTGTACTATTAACTATTAGCTTACGGTTTGTGTTAAGCTATTTGGTGGTGGCCTAGGAACAATAGAATAAAAAGACGCAGCAAAAACCTGCATTCTCTCTAGTGACCATCAGGGGGCGACTCCTCTGATTCTATAGAAGTCTATGAGAAAATGACTCTACTTCGCTCTTGATTTATTACCTCAGTAAACATTGTAAACATGAGTTTATGGTCTCAATCTCTAGTTTCAAGTCTTCTTCAACACAGCATGATGTTCATTTAGTAAATTATGGTCCATTTAGAGTCAAACAGACCATAAAGCAGGGTATGCTTTAGGGAGGGGCTACCTAGTGATTGACAGGTCGCTACCACGGCTTTGTCCAATCTGGGAGTTGTCCGTGTTTTCGTCTTACAACTCCTCACCCTGGTTGCAAAAAAGCAAGATGGCAACTGCCAAAATACTAAAATCGAGGCTTCAAAACGGCAGGCCAAGAATAAAGCGGTGACGTCACGGTGACTAAATTCACTTGTAATATACAGTCGATGGTCTGATCAGGCAACAAAATGTTAGCGCCAGGTCTTGCATCATTATTATTATTATAACTATTATTATTAGTATGTTGTTGAGCTCCTGACTTTTGTCTTGTGCCTTGTTTTCATCATCTAGTCTCAAGACTTTATCTCACATGGTGCATATTCCTTAATAAAGTTGTTTTTAATTAATAAAATTACAGAAAACCAACTCAGCTGCCATGAGGGTATTAGGTGTTGCGGTCAAACAGGGCCCAACAGCATTTCTTTTGCCCTGGGGCCCCTGAGAGGTTAATGCGGCCATGGCTGAAATTATATACTGCATGGGCTATGACCAAAATCAAGCACAGAAACCAAGAGCCAAATAGTACTTGTAGATACGCTTAATGTTTGCATAAAGGAGGCAGCTCCCAACCTCCTTATGACAAATTAAAGATGTCTTCATTTGGGTGACACAGCACAAGCTTGGCAAATATCACCACGACATCATAAGAAAGGAAGCAACTTGTATTTGAAGCCATTATTTGAATGTCACTACACTTCTGTGGCTGATATCTAAATACCCCGGCCATCTGGTGTACCCTAATTAACAAAACAAGCTCTCCTAAAACCGAGGCCTCCCCTCAGCTATGACTACAATGCTGCTCAGCTTCTGTTAGTTTTCTCCTGCCAACTCTCTGCAGCGGCTCGCCTGATCCTGAAACCTGCACTACAGCTGCTGCATCCTATAAACACACCAAGTCCCCGTTTAGATCCAGACCTGTAGTATATTCAGAAGCACTACCTAGACTCTATAATACAACAATACTGACCCTGCAATCAAACAGCAGCAGCAGGGGTCCATGACGACGGCACCAGGGTGACTGTTATCTCTCTGGGTGTAAAAGCAGCTGCTGCACCCCAAAAACAAGACCACACAAAACAGAGTGTATGTACTTTACATCACCGCTGACCATATTCTGCAGCATAATATTTGGGTTTTAATTCTTCTAGGAAGCCATTGGCTTCCTTTAATTTTTAAATGGTATGAAAATCAAATTACCAAGACCTGAAAAGTGCACGAGACGCAGTGCAGACCTTCCAATCACTCGATAGAAGCGAACACTCACTGTGATAAGAGACTTATTTATAGTCAGTTATGACTGCTGGGAGTGGAGGGAAAATAAGCATTCGGTGACACTGATGTAGAATATGTTGTAAAACTTGCTGTATGGTGCTTTACATCTGCACAATGTAAACCAGGAGGACAAATCTCCTCTGTTTTACAATCACATTTTCAAAATCTCAAACTAAGAGAATAAAAGAAGTGCCTTGACAAGAAGGTGGCTGGATCCTGAATCACTGCTCACATTTAATTGCTTTTGGATCAATGTTGCCATGAAACTCGCATCACAAACAGCAACTGAAGTTGTTGCACGTTGCATGACTGACCGATCTCGACTTGAATGTTGAAATGCCAGCCCCATCTACCATAAGTCTCATGCCTCTGGATACATTTGTTACTAATATAAATGCCTCAATAAAAAAAATGTGTTGTGAATAAGGTGCATATGCTTAAGACAACATTTTGCAATACAAACGCAGTAGTACAGGAACACCACTGCAGATGAGATGTGACTTGAAATGCATCAATTTACTGTGGCCAGCTTTATTAACAGACACATCCCCTGCAAGTCTGAGACTTTTTTTCACTTCAGCATCAATCAAATCCACAAAGCATTTCTTAATTTACTCAAATCTGTACTTTTAGAATAGGTTATGTGTTATGATGCTTTCAGACAAAATGGAAGGGCCTCATGTTGCCCTCATATGTCATGTGTGAGGGCTAAACCCTTATATTTCCCATAACACTCTCATTTTCAGCATATATAAGCATCATTATCACTTTATATCACATGATAGGCACAAGAGGGGAGCATTTTGATACAATTGACAAAAAATAGGAGGGAAAACACCACATGACTTACTAGCAATACATATTAATAAAAAAAATGGATTGGCCTGCTGTCCTGCTAATATCACTTTATATCATTTGATTGTTTTATTGCAGACGAGGGCCGATGGAGATAATCCCTCAAATTCCAGGTGTAACATTTCATGCATTGTGTGTTTTAATGTTTGTGCGATATAGAAAGAGTCGTGAGCGTGCAGTCTTCCAGTAATGGAAGTCAGCGCTACACAAACCAGGCCAGTGGCACAAAAAGGCATGTTTGCTGTAAATGTTTGATAGTAAGCTAAGTACTGCTAGCATACTTCCAATATCAGGACTCGTGTCTTACCTTTCTTAATGATCTTCTTTCTGGTTCTCGGGCAGAACTTGTAAACATCAAGTGGCCAACTTGTCTGTCTATTGCCCGTGTGTGTTTAAGCTGAGCTCCCCTACTAGTGGTGCAGTCCACTCCAATTTACTTGGAGGGTATATAAAGGGTGGTTGTGTGAGGTGTTGGAGGATCCATACTCCAGTCCAGTGGTGGGCAGTAATGCATCTATAAGCTGGTCTAGCAACCACCAATAAGACCTGAAGAAAAAAGCATTTGGGAAAAGTACGTGTTAGCAATCACAAGGATTAAGATACGAGTGTATCCAATAATCATAGTTATGAAATCTTGTTCACCAGTTCCAGAAAAGTTAATCAAGGGAAAACATCACATTCAGAAGAACATACAGTAAGAATACAGGCAATCAGGTTGGGTAGGGTAAAACGTATGTTGGAGTGCGGAGATAGTGGGGAGGCCTGTCCTCTCCCTGCTTAGTTTCTGTAATATTACTTCAATAAAGACGTTTGTTTCTAAGCCTGATCCTCTGTGCGACTGACCACAGCACTGGGGTCACATGTTCCCTCATTACCATGAACACTTTGCACTGAGTCACTTCCACATTTACTGTCCTGCTGCCAGAAATACCCATAGAAGTGTGTACTAATCCACCTCTTAAAATAGTCCCCCAATAAACACCACTCTGCTCAAAATCTTCCTGGATGCTGTAGGAGCATCAGCAAAATGTCTCAATGGCTGCTCATTTGACTTCCTTCCTCCTCCTCTTTGAATTACAATATCACTTAAATCCGATGAGCTGTATATATCCATGTTGAGCTTGCACCCTGAGTTAATTATGTCATCTTTATGAATGTACTTTAATTTAATCGGCCTAAAGCCAACCTGATGATTTTAATATTAACCGCTAAAACAAGCCAACATTCATGACGTGCTGCAAAGAGACACACTTTGATTTATGGAGCTGAAGATTTATTGCAAAATACTGGATCACATAGTCAAAAGAGCATTTGGCCAATTGCTGTATGCTGTTGCAAGCCAACGTACAACAACCTGAATTACTGTAAGTATACGTGTCTTGAGAAAATGATGTAATTACCGGCAAGTCTCTGTCTCAGTACCGCAGTAACTCTGACAAAGCTGATACATGATTTTGAGATTAGTGACCGTGCTGACTCGAACTGCAGTGACTTCACGGCCAAGTGTTTGTGTGTGTGTGTGTGTGTGTGTGTGTGTGTGTGTGTGCGCGCGTTTAAAACACACTACAGACCTGTGGGTGGCTGAGTAAAGAAAGAAGCCTACTGTATGAAGGATCTGGTTCACCATACTTTATTTATTATCTGACTGATTATCTGATTTGCATTAGTGAGGCCGGCAAATGATGTTGGGCGACAAGGACTCGCTTGTTCCAGTTCTTTGCCTTTGATGGGGTTGAGACAACAGATTCTGCATACATATGTAAAATCTGTCTGCAATATTTTGGTATTGGAAACGTTAGAATTCCAATTGACCAATCACATCCGAGCAGGCTTTAGCTGAAACTGTTTGTGTGGAGAGCAAAAGAGGCGGAATAAATACAATCTGGGAAACCATTTGCTATCGTCTGACGATGATTTCGCTTTTTATTAATTTTAAATTATCTTGTAAACTGGCTACTCTGAAACAATTCTGTCGTACACGTCGTCTCATATCATTGTAGCCTACTGACTTTGATGATCCCCTGAGTTTTACCCAAGTGCCACCATGAGGTTGATATTTATTTTCTATTGGACGGATTCTCACGGTTCAGATGTTCAGATGAATGCAGAATCTGGTGATCCCATCATCAGGTCCGGTTTCAATTTTGTCTAATATAAATACTTGCAATACGAATGACATTCCCATGAGCCGTACTTTATATTTAGTGCTAATTAGCAAATATTTGCATGTTAATAGATTGTAAACATGTTAAACCAAATACTCGTGTAACATCTGCATAATAGCGTTCTGATGTTAGCATTTACCTCAAAGTATAAAGCCTCAGAGAGCCGCTCTAATGTCTGTATACACTCAGATATTTAGATTGGTTTACACTGTACAAAAAACAAATACACAACTATACAGTCACATTAGACATTACAGATTGTTGCTTTCTAGTAAAAACCATGTATCACCATTTTTTTTAACCATTTTTTCTGCTAAACTGAATAAATAAACGTCCCTGTATGGGCTGAGTAAATTCTCCTACTTCTTTCAGATAAACCTTTTCATTGGACTACTGTATCTTAAAAATGCATCGCCACAAAGCTAAAGACTGTGTTTTTCTCAGCTCATGAAAAGTTGACGATCGTAATGGATGTCTGTATTAGGGAGCTCCCCTGTTGCTGATCTTTTACATCACTCTCAAATCAGACAGAAATCCTTCACATCCCAGAGAAAATGTGTTTTTCCTTTTCACAAAAAGAAAAGAGACTACTGACAACTTGTATTTTAAATGGAAGAAGACAGCGTGAAACTGCCATTTATCAGCAAAACAGACAACAATATGTTTCTGTTCAGGCAGATGAGAACAGTCAGTGGCCGTCCAGTAATACAAACGGGGTGCATTTGATCAAAATAACAAATGGCGTACAAATGTTAAGATCTCGGTTTTCTTTCTGGCAACAAGCGAACACTGTGATTAGTATCAGCGGTGTGTACGAATCCCACAGACGAGCCCACATGCTAAACGCTGGCCTGTGCACTCCCCCACAGAGACTCCAAAAGAAGCAGACTTAAGTCAAGATTGACTGTCTATGACCTTGTTATCTTTATTCAGATTTCAACTACTGGGCCCCCCCCCCCCCCAAAAAAAAACCCTTCCCCCACATGGCCACAGAGTGATTCACACACCAGAGGAGAAATATGGGCCGCTACTTGGAAAAAGCCCAGAAAGCCTCTCTCCTGCTCCCACTCCATCTCTCTCTTTACCCTTCTGACGCTTTATGCTGGGGAGAATTATTATTTTTCCATCTCAAGGTCTGCACAAAAAAAAAAAAGCCCACCTGGTCTGTCCCACTCATCTATTCTCAACTCTATTCCCTTTCCACTCTTCTCTCTCTCCGTCTGTCTTTTACTCCCCTCCACCTCCGCAATTTCAACTGAACCTCCCCATGTTCTGCCTCTTCCTTCCCCTCGCTGTCTTTCTGTCTCCCTCTGCTTCTCTGGACTGCTGGCGGTGCAGAATTAGTAGGTGAAGCTGAAAAAAACGGACTAAGGAGCCAGAATCCAAGGGGTTCACTAATGGGAGCGCTGGCTTGGCTGCCTGCTGCTTCTGGCCATCAGCTGAGGCCAATTATGTGAAGGGGCCACATGTGGCCCGGTCTGGCTTGGCCTTGTAGGAACTGCTGTGTGGTCACTTAAAAGTCTCCCTCCTCCTCCTCCTCTTCCCCAGAGGACAGATGATGGTGGCCTAGCAGAGAGGCGTTCAGGGCTGAAACAATCAATCAATTAAACTAGTTGATTGACAGAAACAAATTAATCATTTGTAATTAATGTTTCAAGGAACGTTTTTAAACATTCACTGCATGCTCCCAGCTTCTCAGATGTGAGGAATGGATTGTTCATTGACAAATGGCAATGGGCATTTTGTGGACTCAACAATAAATTGGAAACAAAATGATCAGATAATTTGATGAGGGAAAATAATTGTTCCTCGCAACCATGAAAAGAAAAGTCAGTGGTTCAAATGTGCAGCCTCAGCTGACCAGCACCAAGTAAGACACTAGAGTCCTAAGCTTTATACTACATTATGTAATAAAGCTGAGATCTTTATAAGTCAGCCTGAGTGTTTACTGTATGTAGAGAGAATATTGTGTCTTCCGTTCTAATGAATCCAGTAGATGTTATTATTTTTTCCTTAATAAAAGGTCTTGAGTCATCCATCAAAAATCCTAATTTCTGATAATTCTTGTTTGGGATTTACAAGAATAGTTTGGGAAAGACACTTTCCACCAAAGAGTTAGATGAAAAGATCGATTCCTCTCTCATATCTGTCCGTTAAAGGTGCAGTGTGTAGGATTTGGAGGCATCTATAGTGGTGAGGTTGCATATTGCAACCAACTGAACCTTCACCCCCGTGACAACCTTGTCAGAGAACTATGGTGGAAGATGCCAAAACATGAAAATGCAAAAGAGCCATTGTTTGGTTTGTCCATTCTGGGCTTCTGTAGAAACATTGCGGCCAGCTTCCTGAAGAGAAACTGCTCTGTATGCAACTATAAACCGCTCATTCTAAGGTAACAACAACATATTTATTCTTATTTTCAGATGATACACTAGAAAACATACTTATTAATATAATACTGTATATACAGTATTTAAAACTAGCTCCACCTCAAACAGTTACAACAGTAAAATATTACTTACATGCAATAAAGTGTGATATATATATTCAGTTTATCAGACACAGAGAGCATTTTCTGGAGAGCAAACAAGTTTACTTTTGATGCTTAAATACATGCTAAATATACTTATTTACTTTTACTGAAACCTAACTAAGTTGTTTTGTTGCATTTTTGTTTTATGTTTCAATTTAGAACTTTAAGCACGTGTTTCAAAGTGTGTAAAACTGCAAACCGAAGGATAGAATGTGAATTTGTTGGATTTTTACACCTTGACCTGATCAGGAAAGGCCGACCAAGTATAACTACTCATTGTTAACAACTCAATGATTTGGAGCAACCGCCATCATCCAGCAGGTGTTAACCTTGCCTCAGGCATACACTCTGTCCTTCATACATTAGCTTCCCTTAACCAGGCTGAAGTTACTGAGCACACAAGAGGATGAAAAGAAATTGTTTTGCTACATAGGTTGTCAGCATGAACATAGTTCCACTGATTTGGCTTTTATTACCCTCTTTTCTCTTTGCTGATCTTCTTTTGATGGCGATCCAGTCCAAGGAAACACAGCAGCTCCGTCTGACTCATCCCCTACCAAACCGTAAATCACATAAATCCGCCTCCTACTGACTTTGACCCCTTCCTCACTGTGCTCCACTCTCCATGGCCAAAAGGAGAACATGTGGTCTGGTGGACTGACGGGGAAAAGCATCCTCTGGATCGCTGGCATGTAGCGGACAGAGTCGGCCTACTGCGAAGCAATTACCACAGTGCTGAAAACGAGAAAACACCACACAGTGACACACACAACGTAATTAAATCAGTTTGGATCACTTACTCATGAAATCCTGAATCTGAACCACAGAGCAAGTTTTTCAATCAATTCAGTGCAGCGCTACAAAAACATTAAAAACAGAGACAACACCGTTTCACAAAATCAAAGTTTTATTCTTAACGAAAGCTTCTTACAAAATTTCAAAGTTGTTTAATGATTTTTATGAAGAATACTGGAGAGTTGTGACTGAAAGCAGAGAAACTTTCTGATTGAAGAGCAAATATATTACATGGAAAGTGCAATTTTGTCGATAAACTTGGCCATTTTGATGTCCCGTTTCGACAGTCCTCCACAGTCGTGTGTCGTCAACGTAATCTGGACCTGTGAGGAAAGATACACATTGTTTGCAATCACAAAGCAAGAACATAACTGCTTAGAGTTAAGGGTAAGTTCAGGGTAACTTCCTCGAGTCTCAGCTGGTTGCCTGGCAGGCCAACAGTCCAGCTTTAACCCCAGTGAAACCACAGCATGTTATTTCTATACTCTTTTTTTTTGGTACAAATTAAACAGACTAGATACAAAGTGTTAATTAGTGAGCTTTACAGGCGCTCAAAGACGGATTTTGCTATCTCTGGACAGAGCCGTTTCTCCCCGCTTCCAATCTTTGAGCTAAGCTAAGCTAACTGCCTGCTAGCCTTAACTTCATATTTACTGTAACGAACCTGTCTCCTGAAACTTACATTCCCATACGACAAAACTGCATTGTGAATCACGTTTTCAAGGAAAACATATTTTGTCCTGGATTACGTTTGCCTTTGACGAATCACAAATAAATTTCAAATTGCGTGAAAGTCTGCGTAGGGAAGAGTTCTGGGAGTTGGACGGATCCAAAAACACACAGCTTTCACCAAGGAGACTGTAAATCTCAGCGAGACATTGAATAACCTCAGAAAATGTCAAACTATTCCTTTTATGTGCAAGACTCTGAATATATCATATGTCTGATGAAAGAATGGGAATTTATTGGATTTTTACACCTTGACCTGATCATTTGGATTGAGCCAGGCTAGCTGGTTCTCCCATTTCCAGTCTTGATGCTAAGCTAGATAGCTAAATTTGAAAAAGAACGTGAATCAGCACATTTCCCAAAATTTTGAACTATTTCTTTAAGCCTTGATCCACATAAGATATTTGGCAGGAACTGTCAGCAGGCTGCATTTGGCCCCACCCATTGAGATTTTGATGAAAAAAAAAATGCTTGAATGAAAATTAATAGAATATTAGCAGTAGCGCAGAATACAGCATCTATTTCGTCGAGGCTGAAGCTCAGTCAGAGTGGGATTTATGTGCAAGTGCCTGGTGGAAAGTGCTGTGGGGGCCCAGAGACCTGCAGCACCATTCTGCAGCCACTTTAATAAAGAGTGGATTAGGAGCAGCATTCCTGTCAGAGTGTCCCGGTCCGCCACACTGTAACTCAGTGGCTACAGACTAATGCTGTGAGATTTTCAGGGACTGGGTTTGTCATATCAACCGCTACTTTATTTCTGAGGGCGGAGAAAAGTGAGAGTGTGCGTGAGCGTTGGGGTCGCCGAGGGGGAGGTAGAGATACTTGCAGAGCTTTTCGCAAGAGAAACGATGGGATTAGAGTGTGAAGCTACTGCGTTTTTTCGTCATTGTGACTAACGGAGTGTGTTTCAGGCTTTGAGCGGAGAGCTCTCCAGAACCAGTGAGGATTGTTTGACATGAAAAACATCTGACTTTATCCCGGGTTGATTGATCTCAGTGCGCCTGTAATTTGTCATAAACCAACCGTAGCATTGCAAATATGGCAGTGACTCAAACACGTAGCCGCGGTAAGACTGTTTGATTCTGCGAGCCGAGATGTTCTGTAATGGGAACTAAACAAATGCAGCACTGTAAGTGACTCCTCAATCACTATTACAAATTGTGATTTGGGCCATAATGTGGAGAACGTTATTACCTTATTATAAACATTGAACCATTCTGGGTGATGGTTCATCTTCTCTGCCTGCAGAGCCACTCGAGACATGAAGCCAAATGCCTGTTTAGAGAGAAACAATCAACTGTCAATCAAAAGCAATTCAGGAACTTATCCTCCAAAAAACTGCATAGCAAGTACAAAAAAATATATACTATACATTACTTATGAATACAAAAAAATATATACTATACATTACTTATTAATACAAAAAAATGCAATATACAATAACTGCCGAGAATCAAGTTTTTTTTCCACTGTGCATATAGACGGACAGAGACAGACAGACAGAGAGTTAGATAGAGGGAAATGTGCCTGTTACAGCAAAAAGTACATTTTACTATACAATACGCATCAATACCAAAACTTAGCAGAATACAACATTTTGTCAACAGTAGCTTTTTTTTACTGTGCATATAAACATGTGTATTGCTGTGAGGTGGACAACAGTGTGTAGTAGTGCAAAAATAAACGTTAAAATAAATTTGTGCAGATATGGGTCAGATCAATTCATGGGGATGAAAGATGAGAATGTTTGTCGTCTTTAGTCCGGTAGAAGGAAGCGTGAGGTCGACCCCCCTCTCCTAACAGAGACTTTTTGGACCGAGAGATGGCAGTTGGGGAGGAAGAACCTCCTGCAGCGGTCCTTTGCGTAATAGTGAGTTTTTAAAACTACCTTTATTGATATGAATGGGTGGGCAAAATATAAGAAACACTTGATGCAAAACAGTTAAACTACAGCCTCCAAAACAGAGCGTATATAGTTGAAATTTATTATTACAAACAAAAACAAAAATGCAATTCCTAAAAAAAATTGCTCAACAACAAAAAATGTAATAATTTAGTGAGAAAAACACAAAGAAATCCTCCCCTTGATATCTTACAAAATCATAATGCTCCCTCGCAACAAATATGAAATGTCATCATTCAGTCGGAGGTTTTAATGAATAATCGATTCGTGATTTGGTCAACCAAATGGCAGAAAATAGTGAAGAATGGTACAATCTCCCAAAAGCCCATGGTGGCGTCTTCAAATGTCTTGCTTTGAAAAAAAAAAAACCAAGAGAAATTAAATTTAAAATCATAGAACACTAAATAAACCAGATCAGTTTCAGATTTGAGAAGCTGTATCCAAATAATTTTGGCATTTGTTCTGACTCGAGCTGATGAATCTTCTGTCTTTTGACTAATTGATTAATCGACTAATTGTCGCAGCCGTAAAGGAAATGATCAAAGCACGTAGCTGCAGACGGATGCAGCACAAGGAGCAATGCTGCCCTCTGAGGCGCAGAGAAGCACAATATTCTGTGCATGCAGGAAACCCTCATGAAGGCATGTATGCGCGTACTTCCACACCCTCGCAAGTTAGCAGACGGCATGCAGGCACACACTCAGGAGACATACACACTCTTCATATTTCAAGTTCGGGATGTGGCTCTCTCCAATCACAGGCCATCCAGGGAGTGATTATGGTTATTCTAATTATCTACAAAGAGGAGAGTGAAATCCCTCGTCATGCCCACTGTGAAGAGAGGAGGAAAAAAAAAAAAATCAGGTAGACCTATTTCAGAGCAATTTCCCACTGCAATCTCAATTAAGCCCCTAAATACTTCCTCCCCGCCTAATTAAATCAACTGAAACGCCATTGTTTACCGGCCATGTCTGCGGCCCCGTCCACCACCTGACATGACGAAACAGAATTACTCTCGCCGAAGAAATTAGTGCGTTGTAACCAATTTCTGAGACGTCCTGTTCAGTGCTCGAGCAGCGCGACGTGTGTAACGCGATCGGCAGCTTGATCAAATTGGTTATCAAGGAAAACCGTCTCCTGATCAATTTAAGTAATTGGCATATTCCTGCAACTTGACCCCACTGGCACCAATTTGGAGACCGAGGCGGTCTGCCTTTTCTCAGTTCCCATTGACTCTAATGGAGATGGCTAAGCAGCCTGTCATGTCAGGTGTTGTCCAAACATGTCGTCTCTCTCTCTCTCTCGCTCTCTCTCAGGGTCGAGCTCAGGCTAATCTGCTGCTGAGGAACATTGAGTGACAGGTAAAAGGATTCTGTGTGAACACTTAAAGCTTCCTGCACATTGTCCCGTTTCAAAACACCACGTTCCTTTAAAAAAAACTCACTTTCCAGCCTCGACTGTTATGAAACACAAACGCATCGCCCTGGCAGTTCAACATACTCCTTATTGCTCAAAGCGTGGACTAAGAATATGTGTAAAGAGGGTTTTTTTTATGTTTAAATCAATAATTTTCTTATTCTTATTATCATTGGCACCAGGTATATAAGAAGTGGAAGTAGTCACCGTGACGTCAACCATTTTGAAGCCTCCAGTTTGATATTTTAGCCGTCGCCATCTTGTGTTTTTGCAAACAGAAGTGACACGAGAGGGTGGAGCTTAGTACAACCAACCGCAAAATAAGACAATTTAAGGCAACCAAAAATATTCATGAACTGGGAAAAAAAACTGTGAAAGGGTTCAAGTTGTAAAACGTAAACATGGACAACTCCCAGACCGGACAACGCTGTGGTAGCAACCTGTCAATCACAAGGTAGCCCCGCCCTAAAGCATACTCCACTTTATGGTCTGTTTGACTCTAAATGGACCATAATTTACGAAATGAACATCATGCTGAATTGAAGAAGACTTGAAACTAAAGATTGAGACCATAAACTCATGTTTACTGAGGTAATAAATCAAGAGAGAAGTAGAGTCATTTTCTCATAGACTTCTATACAATCTGACTTCTTATTGCAACAACTACATTACCCCCTCTTAAAAGGACACTGTTGTATCTCTGATGCAAAAAGCTATTTTAGGTAATTTATGCATCATAAATTACTTATGTCAGAGTCAGATTAATCAATGGCCAAGTTTGATTTATCACATATATATTTTATTGGCGTATATGTTAGCTGATTAGTAACAATTGTGAATTGCAGTACAGAAATACCAAAAAATATATTTTAAGTAGTTTAGAAAGTCTTTATTTTCAAACTGTAGAATATTCTATTTAATTGAATACCCAAATTTGACGAATCCATTTGACTGTTTATTAGCTGATAAACTGTGATCAGAGTCATTGTTATTGTTAAAATATCAATATCAGCCTAAAAAAATCCAATCAGGCTCTACTTGATGCCTGATTAATTTCCTGAGTGAATTTGGATTATTTTGGTCAGCAGTCCAAATGCTGTATGCCGATTGTAGCCATCTACACATGTAAGAACATGAGGTTGAATTTGACTGAAACAGTTTTGTACTTTATCCCACTGGAGAATAACTCTTTTCAGGCTTAATTGACCAGCATGTGTGACTAATAGGTGAACTTCCTTATTTAATCGAGGGTGGATCCCTTTTAACACTATATGTCTGCCAACTGGGTCACACCACTTTAAAGCAACATTATCACAATAACACAGTTGTCGATTCACTGACATTACTGCAAACATCTGCAGTCACATCTGTATGATACGTTTCCACATATTTCCAAACTTGGCAGAAGAGGGAACTTGTAGTCTGGACGAATAATTCACTTCGATTCAGTTTTAATTCAAGAAATATATTTTTCTTCAAAAGCCAGCTCATGGCATGAAGACGTTTGCCAATGATTAAGAACAAATGCTGTATTATAAGTGTGTTTTTTATTTGCATTTTGAATCCATTGAATTGACAGTGAACCAAACCCAACCAGAGCATAAACTCATTATCCAAACTTCAAAGTGCTGCACAAAACGCGGGCCGCGCTGCTTTTATCAAGCCAAGTGTCACGCTTCCCGAAAAGTTACACGTCTACGTTTACTCAAAATGTAATTTGGAGGAAGGCGGAATGTGAAACACAAGACGACAAGTTCAGCGTGTATGCAACATGAGCCCTGAATGTCCCAGGAAGACAAAAATGAGGAGAAAAAGCAGTAATCTCCCACTGCAAATGAATCAGAGCTGAATGTCCAAATAGCCTGAAATCCTGAAAAGGCCTGAAGCTGGTGGTCCCTTGGGGGCGGTAAGGAGAGCAGCGGGACACAATACTGCCAAAGTGGCGGTCTGTCACCTGTAGGTCATCTCAACGCCCTCCACTTGGGCCAAACAAGGAAATAAAACCAACCCTCAACATGCTGCTGAGGTCTTATGTCAACAGAGGTCAAGGACTCTCCCTCTCAAAGTGCTTTGTTTACCCCATTTGTATTATGCGGGCCACACTTCTTGAGTCGACAGGTCGGCTATCCAGCCATCCAGCCAGCCATCCGTTCTCTCCAACCGGCCCGACAAGCTGCAGCTGTCAAGAGTCAGATAATTTGACGTGACATTATGCAGGCCCCTCGTCTCAAATAATCAGAAACACACCGACGGCAGACCCCCGCTATGCCCCCTTTTCCCCACGCGCCCCCTTTTGAGGAGCCGATTTGGTGCTATTACAGCATGATTGTCATACAACACTGGATGAGACAGTTTGACGTTGGAGCAGAGTGGTGTTCTCTCTCTCACTGCGGCCGTGGGCTGGAATACAGGACTCGGTTTCAAACACATGTGTCTGTTATTTACAGATCGGTTTTCCACCGCCGCGCGGTCCAAGGGCTTAGAAACGCCTGCTCTGTCTTGCCAGGACTAAGTGCATGCAGATTGTGCCTGCTCTTGCTAGCCCCTGACAGACACACACGTGCACGCTGAAGCATGTGCGAATGCACATATGCAAACCCTCCTCGGCATACACGTGAGTATGTGTCGACACACATGAAGACAAGCCGCTCTCCTCCATTACACACCGCCATGACTACCCGATGATTACCCCGCAAGCCCCATCAGCGCCCGCGTCAGCCCCCTGGAAAACCTTCGCTCCTCCACAGTGAAAGGCAAGAACGCTGTGAATTGCACGGTGGTGGTCATGAGGATGAGGATGATGATGATGACGACCACACCTCTTATGTCTCATTTCTCTCCTTCACAAGCTTCCAGCTGGCCTGGACAGGACGGCCCGCTAAGTTGACATGTAACCTAAAGCAAAAATATTGAATAATTTGGAAGCACAGCTGCAAAGCGCTGAAGTTCTTTCATG